GCATCAGACACACAGGACACATCAGACACACAGGACACATACAAACACATACGACACAATCTCAAAGGTCTGCCGTTGTGGCACTTGGCCACTCTTCCAGCCACCTTAGAATAAGGACTAGGAACATCCAGTCGCCTTTCCATTTCTGTCAGAGGAACTGCCCGAGATCACAGGCAACACAGTGAGCCTTGCTTTACTTCCACACGCCGCCTGTGCTCTGTCCCCAAGGCTGCTGCCACACCAAGGTGGGGGTTGGTGGGGACACACCAGGCCCCTCCCACCAGCATGATGGGCAGACAGTTGCCCAAGGGTGGCTCCAATTCCTTCTAACGGGAACATGCGAGATTCTGCAGATATAACTGGGCGACACCCCAAACTTATACTCCTGCCCCAGGGCATGTGTCCAGTACCCAACTTCATACATGTGTCCCAGTGGCCGTGCTGAGGTCCCTCCATGCCTAGCACCTGCTCAGGTACAGAACAGAATTGACCTACCTGACTGACGTTCTCGTCCTTCACACAGTTGGTGAAAATGACATGTTTCAAGCCTTCTCCTTCTAAGTGCTGCAGGATTTTCTGAAAGCAACAAAATGTCTCCATTTTAAAAGCGAAATAAAATCATGGTAACTGTGTGGCCTGAGGCCTGGGCCCCATCCACACAGACCACAGAGCAGCCTCCAAAATCTCAACGATATAAACACTGTGGGGACAAGCATGATGACATTAAATGAATGAGACTGTGAACATTCAGTCCGTGGAGGAGCAGGGGGCCAGGGGCCAGTGATGGGCACCACTGTGGAAACCTCGGCCCAGACGCTCAGGGTCTAAGGACCGCGGCTCAGTGTGCCGTGCTTCCCTGTAAAGTCACGACAGCTTGGTTTACGGACATACGCTGAAACCCTAACACGTTGTAGAAAGAAGAGACACCGGCTTGAATTCACAAGATCCCAACACCCACTCTTATAAGGACAAGACCGACAAACAATTCAAAACGAACACTTCTCAAGTCTCCGAGCTTCCTTTGCATTGGGCCAGAGACCAGATTCAGCCGCTGGACAGCAGTCTGGTCTGGGGAGAGGCCTCAGCTGCTTTGGGCCTCATCGGTCACTTTGTGAGATGAGACTAAATTCACAGAGCCTGTGGTGTGTGGAGGGCAGCCAGCAGTGAGCCCAGTCTGCCCTGGGGTTCACAAGGCTGTCAAGCTGGTTAGCATGAGTGCTAAGTCTCCAGGGTAGACCGCCCAGGCCTTCAGGCTTTTGACAAAGGCAGCTACTTGAATTTAAACAAACGAATTAAAATCAAATATAATGTGAGAGCCAGTTCCCAGTGCTCATGGACCATGTGGCGGGTGGACAGAGTGGCTCCCCACAGAGCTGGCAGCACAGAGCACTGTACCCTGTACCATCCCAAGGGGGCGCACACATCCAACTGCCTGACATGCTGCTATGAGAAATCACACTGAAACACAGACATGAACACACACGACAAACGGGAGAAATCACAGTGAAACAACACAGACATGAA